TGCCCTGAAGTTCTCAACCACCATTAGAAAGCCCCAGGGAGCCACGAAGCTGAGAAGAGGAAAGGAAGGGTCGTGTCCGTGCACACACACACACACACACACACACACACACACACACACACACACACACACGCACCGTCTGAAGAACCAAGGTGGAGGACAGGGAGACAGGGGAGAGGATGCAAAGGCTGTGCCGAGGGGGGCGGTAAATGGGATCAGAAGTATTTGTTGTGCTTCCAGCAAGGAAGGATCCGTCACATTTTTAATAATAATACATACATGAAGACAGATTTGCCAGCACCGCTCTGGTTCCTTGGGAAGGGTGGGGGAGGGGCACCAATGCAGCTGCAGCAAAGACCAATATCCTCCCCTCCCCTCCCCCATTAGACAGATTCCATACTGCAGCAGCCTCCCCCGCCCCCTCCAACCGCAGTCTCCCACAGCCCACCCTTTCTACCATCCCTTCACACAGCTTCCCCCGCCCCCCTCCTCCCTCTCCCTCCCTCCCTTTCTAGCTCCCCGAGTACTCTATCTTTTCTGCTCTGGTCCTCATTTGACACAGCCTTATCCCAGCAGGAAGAAACCCAAACACCCACATTTTAGATCTGCTCCCCTAATCCCAAAGCCAGGTCTTTCCTCCAGTGCCCGTACCGGCTGCATTCACTCTCTCCCATACAGCACTCCTCAGAATTGTCATCTAGGACATTTCAGCATTTCCTGAACCCCACAGAAAGGGACCACTTTTCTCTCCATTTTTATTTCAATGTGACTTCCTTTATCATATCCTTAAATATAAGGGCTATCAGATTTGCTTGTGTTTAGGGGGTGTCAGGGCCTCAGGACTCAGTGACTACTGCCACCTATTGACCCAAATTTGTTCACGATGGGCCTTTAATACACTTCTTACAGGGCATCAATAGCTTAAACATGCAAAGGCATGGCTCTTGGGGCTTCCCTGAGACCCTCTGAACAATGAGATCAAAGGCACACAAAGCAGGACTGGGCAGGGAGCCAGCAGTGCCTCTCTGCCTGCCCAGGCAGTAAGAGGCCAAGGCATGAAAACAATCTGGTCTCCTCGAGGACCTGTGGGAAAAGCCAGGGCAGGATTTTTCTCAAGCAATGGCAAAAATATTGGTCATAACAATATAAGTGAGGTTAGCTCTGAGCAAAGGGTCATATTTCACTAATACTTCATCACATTAGTCAAATCCTTGGCAGGAATCTGGTATTTAGAGCCGACAGATCCCACAGACATTCAGGACTGTGCCATGTCTCATCCAGTCTGTACCAGTCACAAGTGGAGATGACAGAGAAGCTGGGTGCTGCAGGACAAGTCTACCCCATGACATTCTAAGGGTTAGCCTGGGTTTTGTGCCTTGCACACCCCAAGGCTAGGAATTAGAGGAACTTGAGCTCTCCACGGTGCTGAAACCTGGTTTGCTGCAACCAGGTTATCCGTTTCTCATTTGACAAAGTTCATTTTCCAAATGAGGTATCCAGAAAGACTTGGGAATCTTTGATAGACATTTCCCCCCAAACCTTCACAAAGCCCTAACAAAACAAAGAGGTGGAGGGGGGAAATGGGACTTTGTCAAACTTTCTTGCCTACTCCCTAAGATGGAAAAACTGAGGGAGAAGCTAAATTAGCTTGTCAGGTTAAAAAACAAAAAAGAAAAAGAATTCAGCCTGAACAGAAATACAGAAATGAACAATAGAACAGACCTAAACCTTGCAATTCGGATCCTTAATTCTGCTGTTCTACTGTGTTAACAGTGGCTCTCAAACTGTTCCGTGAGGACTAAAGTTTCCTTGGGGAACCTACTAAAGTTGGGGAAAGAAGGCTATAAGGTACTTTAGGATGCCTGTTCCCTACTTCAGTAAAAGTAACCCCACTTACATGTTTTACATTGACAATCTATGTAAAATTCTGTCAAACGGTATAATCTATTAATGATGCGGATATAAATATCCTCAGGAAAAAAATGCTAGTAATTGTTGGAAAGTCTTTTTCTAGTAGTGCCACTAGGCCAGAAATAGCACATCCTGGAACTCAAGACTCACTGGGATTAATGCAAGGCCTACAAAGGCCAACGTTTGTTCTGTTTACTGGTATACCAAGAAGGCCCAGAGTACACAGATTGTAGCCTCTGAAGGCAAGACCTCTACAGAAATGGGTCCTATGGAATCTTACATTCTAATAAATTAGGAACAGCAGCAAGCATGGTGCTGCTTGCCTATAATCCCAGCACTTAGGAGGTGGAGGTAGATGACGAGCTCGAGGTCCTCCTCACACCTAACAAAATCAAGACCAGCATAGACTATCTGGGGATCCTGTCTCAAAAGAGCCAAGATCAGAATTTGCTAATTAATCAGATGAATGTGAGTGCTCTAACCGAAGCATCTTTGCCTATCCCCCCACGCACCCCATGATACTAGGGATTAAACCAGGGTCTTGTATATATGCTAAGCAAATGCCCTTCCGAAGAGCTACATTCCCAGTGCTGAGTTGAAGCCAGGCTCTGGCTGTTTCCCAGGCTAGTTTTGAACTCACTATGTAGTGCAGGCAAGCCTTACTCTTGCATTCCTCCTGCCCATCTCCTTCCTGAGAGGCTAGACTCACAGGCACGTGCCACCTCATCTAGCTTTCAAAGCATACTTTAGCTGTCTTGTCTAGGTTGTTCAGCTTGGAAGGGCACAAGCTCTAAATCAGTTATGATTTTTTGCTTACTCTCGAGTAAATATAAGGTCTCGGAACACACAGGATCCCTCAGATTTACCAGGAACCAAGATGCCCCAAGAGGAAGCCCATCCTGAGAAATCCACAAAAACTCAAGATTCCTTGATATAAAGAAATCTTAAGAGACTCAGGTATATTTTTGTGTGCATATGAACATGTGTATGGGCATGTGTGCAGGTGTGCATGCCAGACGTCAAACTGAGACGAAGTGTTCTGTCCTGCTCTCCACAGAATTCCTCTGAAGTCACTCAGCGAACCTGGGGCTAAGCCAACCTCATCCATCCTCCCATCTTTGCCTGCCAGAGTGCTGGGGAGGTTACTGGTATGTACAGCGTGTCTAACTTATTTTTAGTACCTTTTAAAATTCCGTGGGGAAGGGACATGGGACAATTTTCTGGGGTCAGTTCTGTGGGTCCAAGAGATAGAATTCAGGTTGTTCGGTAGGTACCATTACTAAGCCTTCTTGCCAGCCCCTAATCCCTGACTTTCTCTGTGGGTGTTAAGGACTTGAAGTCCATGTTCACATAGCATGTACTCTTACCCAGTGAGCAATCTCCCCTGTCTCCCCCTGCCCAAATAGTGGGGGTTAAACCTAACACCTCTTCAGTGTAAGTCGGCTACCACTGAAGTATAGCCCTAGAACTCAAGCATACTTACATTACCGGATGAGGAAAATTAAAGGACCAAGATATCGAGTCACATGACCATGACCACAGAGTTAATAGGGCAACCATAAATCTGGTCTTTGAATTTCTATAGGGTGTAGTTGATTGATTCTTGCCTTAATCAGGTTGACCAGTAGAAATCCAAATTCAAGCCAGGCAGTGGTGGTGCACGCTTTTAATTCCAGCACTCGGGAGGCAGAAGCAGGTGGATCTCTGTGAATCTGAGGCCAGCCTGGTCTACATAGAGTTCCAGGACAGTCAGGGCTGTTACACAGAGAACCCTGTCTCAAAACAAACAAACAAAAATCCAATCCAAAGATTCAGAACCAATAGTTTCAGTGATGTAATGACCCAAATTATATTCCTACCCATGACACCTGTCAGTAAAACCAGACACTAACATCAGATGTTCATGAGACTGAGTCTTTTTTTTTTGTTTGTTTGTTTTGTTTTTACGAGACAGAGTTTCTCTGTATTGTTTTGGAGGCTGTTGGTTCAGCCAGGCCTCGAACTCACAGAGATCCACCTGCCTCTGCCTCCCGAGTGCTGGGATTAAAGGCGTGCGCCACTACTGCCCAGCGAGACTGAGTCTTTTTAAAATTCCAGTGAATTACATCTCAAAACCCAGCTTCTCACTTTATCCTGTTTGTTTACGTTACCCAAGGTTTAAGGGAGCGCTCATCAACAGAGGATATTCTCCGCATAGAAGCAGAATTCAGACCTCAATCTTGAGATGGGTTTGGCTCCAGTTCCTGTAGGGTATTCATTCTTCTAGCTGTCACTCTAGGGATTTTGTCCCTACTTGCTGACATTCTTTGGCAGAGCTTTTTTTCATTTTGGTTTTTCCAAATCGGGTTTCTCTGTGGCTTTGGAGCCTGTCCTGGAACTCTGTTCTATAGACTAGGCTAACCTTGAACTCACAGAGATCCTCCTGTCTCTACCTCCAGAGTGCTAGGATTAAAGGCGTGCGCCACCACTGCCCTACTTGGTGAGCTTTTAAAAGGGCTGGACTTTCCTGACCCAGGTAAACTGAGGTCCCGGTTGGAAAGAGAGGCAGACGCTAGACCACAAAACTACACCGACTCTTCATCCATCACTTCAGCTACTCTTTACAAATTCTTTCCAAAACTGACCAAAGATCAGCTCTTGTGGGCGTGGCATTTGAGAAAGAGAAGCATCCAGAAAAATGGGGACAAGCAGAACTCTTGCTGATGCAGAACCAACCAACCTCCTAGCCTCAAGCAACCACAGGTTTCCTGAGCCACTAATGCCACCTGGTGGCCACGCTTAATAGATCAACAAAACCTAAAAGCAATGTTTTGGAATTCTAGACTTTCAAATCATGCAGGAAGGTGGACAACGGGGGTTAGAGAGCTGATTATGTTAGTCTACCTCTACTTTTGTAAAATAATCAATTCTCAATTTCTAGGAAAAATACACCACCACAAACCAAAATTCTCCCCCGGAATACTATCTTTCCTCTTCCACTATCCATTCACCAAATGCAACCACACAGCCAGCAATCCCAGTCTATGAAAAATCCACTACCCACTCACCAAATGCAACCACACAGCTGGCAATCTCAGCCACACAATGTATGAAAAGCAAAGGAAATTTTATTTTGTAAAGATCTTTCCACACGTCCAAGGTCAGCAGAGCCCAAGGAAAACACCTGCATACGGTGACACTAGACGCACCCCAGGATGACAAAGTGCATAAGCATGTCACCGCCGCCTCCGAAACCCTGAAATGAAAGGAAACCAAGAGTGAGGCAAAGAGAGCTGCAACCACTACAGGCCGGGAATGAGCATCTAGGGAAGGGCTCGGCGGAGGTGTGTCCAAGGCAGTACCCTCTCCGTCAGTCTAGGCCTCACAAAGGAAGGGACAGTTAGAGAGCAGTCTCTTTAGGTGTTGCTTCTACAGACCTATTTGCAGACACCTGAACATGGGCTGTGGGGCCACAGAAGTATGGTCTAGAGAGAGACTCCTTTGGGAGTGACACTGATCTCAAGCTTGGCAAACGAATACACAAAAGCCTACCTAAAGAGACTAATAACTAGTAGGGAAGAGAGGCAAGCCCCGAAAGGAATCTCTGAGAGGTGGCACTCCAACTCAGACTGTCTGTCAGGCACTCACTCACCTTTCTTCTTCCGGCCTTTCTTAGGTATCTTCTTCCGCTTTTTAATAGGACTCTGGTCCTGGAGACAAACAGAAGTGAAGAAATGGCAATGCATGCTCACTGTAGGAACCCCACACACATGGCTAAAAGCACGACAGCGGCCTGCCACACTGCCCCGTCTCACCTCGTCAAGATGGGCAGTTCCTCCTGTCAAAGCACTGATGTCACTGAAGTGTGTGAGGGAGTGAAGCTGGGAGCTCATAACACTTGCTCGCTTCCGCCGGCCTTTCTCTCGTTTGCTAACACTTAAACGCACCATCATGCTCTCTTCATAGTTAATCCTGCCACAAAGAGTTCACAAGGTTCAGACTAGGGTAACTTGGGCCCCAGTATCCACTCATCCTCATTTAGGGTCTTCAGGACATTCATAGACAATACAGTATTTAGCTAAGTGTGGCGTGTTCAATACCAAACTTCCTCACTGAAATGCTCTCTGCGGGATCCTCCCTCACCCCTAGGGATTAGTCTATGTTCCAACCACAAAACTTATCGTTTATAAGGAAAATCCTCACATTTCAGCTCTGTACCTACACAGAGCTGACGAGCCCACATTCAAGTTAGTTGTTTTTCTATTGTTCTCCTAGATGTTCCAGCACAAAGTCCATCCATACTGCTTTCTACCCCAGTAAGAGCTGTGACTTGATGAAAGACAGTCTACTGTAGCCCCACCATGAGGAACTGAACATATTCTCCTCTATATAGCATTGGCTTGACCCTAAGCAGGCAGAGGAAAACAAAACAAAAAATTATGATAAAAGAAACAAAAACATAAAAGTCCCCCCAGCTCTTATTTGTACTTCAAATTCACCAATGACTTCAACTACCACACCAAGCATTTCACTCCACTTTCTACATGATGTTGGGTTTCCTGTGCCAGACTTGAAAGAATCCCTAGCTCTAAGAACTCAGACCTATGCTGGTCCTCCTGACTCTGGCGAGTGGCGTGAGGGTGCCGGGCATCGCGGATCTCCTCTGGGGCATCTGAGTACTGCTCCTTAAGCTCTCGGATGACGGAGCTGCTCAGGGCCCGTCTCTTGGCCCGGTCCAGGCGCTTTTGCTCACGCTCAGCTTCTGTTTCATCTACGTGATAAAAGTCCACAAGGGTTAGTCTGGAATCCACACAAGAAACAGAAACAAAACTCCCACCAAGGAGGCCACAGCCACCACTTATACCATAATGCACTGGAACCAAGCGTGGTGGGACGTATTTCTTAGATGTTCCTTTTGCAGATTTCTTCCCTGCAGCCTCAGACTGGTCCTCCCCTGCTTCGTCTTCCTCTTCATCCTCCGAGTTCAACTACAAAAGAAGAAGCAGCTCCCTGCAAACTCTGGAAAGGATCAGAGCTGGAGCACCCTAAGATGGTGAAGGGAAAGGACACCTCATACCGACATTTCAAGCCAGTCTGGAGTCCTGGAGACCAGGGCCACCACAGGGTTAATCTCGGCTGGACACAAACCTTACCTTGCTTATCATGTTGCTGGGATGGGGCTTAAAACGAAGTGGGTCACTTTCACCTGAAACAGGAAGACAGTCTATAAGATCTGGAACTTCATAATGACCCCACAACTTTATGATGCTTGGCCCACTTACTGAGGCTGCCTGTCACCGCAGTCTTGACCAGTTTGTCAATTTGATACTTCAGTTTTTGGTCCAAGGGGCGGAGTTTTTCTAAAACCTACAATGTGGTAATTTGTAAGGATTACATTTTCTTCCCTAAATCAGGCACATACCAGGGTCTAATTTACTGTTCCAGATAAGGCAACGAAAACATTTACAAAGTAGAGCCAATACAGAAAAAACACCCTTTCCTTACTTAAACAGGAGAATACCCACTCATGTGAGAGCTACTGACAGCCTTGGAGTACAGGCCTTAGAAACAAGACTCCAGTTGCAAAGGGCTCATACCGTGCGGATTTCCACCAGCCTCAAAACTGCAGGATGGCCCTGCAGAGATCCTCCTGAGGCTTTGTCCAGGATGAGGTGACTCAGATCCATAAGGTACATGAGCAACAGCTGGTCCTTCACTTCCAAGAAGCTCAGACCCTAAGTTAAACAAAACGGGAAGAGGTAGACTCTTTAGTTTTAGCCAGAGAATCAGGAAGACACAGGGCAAACACCAGGATAATGTTTTTACAAGTCCAAGGTTTTCCTAAGGATAATGTTTTTACAAGTCCAAGGTTTTCCTAACTAGTCCATGTAAGAACGAGAAGTATATCCCTCCTACCCGCAGTTACTGAGTCACAAACACTAGATGAACACTAAGGCTCATACCTATAATCACAGCACATAGTAGGTTAAAGCAGAAGACTGCCATAAGTTCAAGGCCAGTCAGAGCTATCAGGAATCCATTTCATGTATCCCAGGCTGGCATGGAATGCTCTGAATATAGCCAAGGATGACCCTGAAATCACAATCCTGCTCCCACCTACCTCCCAAGTTCTGGGAAAATGCTTGAGCCACCATACTTGCTACAATTCATGTTTTCTTTTTTTTAATATTTATTTATTATGTATACAGTGTTCTGTCTGCACATATGCCTGCAGACCAGAAGAGGGCACCAGATCTCATTACAGATGGTTATAAGCCTCCATGTGGTTGCTGGGAATTGAACTCAGGACCTCTGGAAGAGCAGTCAGTGCTCTTAACCTCTGAACCATCTCTCCAGCCCTCTACAATTTATGTTTTAAATTGTGTGTTGCTCTACTGTGGTGATGTATGCATGTGTGAGAACATGAATCAAGCCCGCATGCATGGAAGTCAGGGTTCAACTTTGTGGAATCAGTTTTCTTCTTCCATTAGGTGGGCTTCAGGGATGAAACAAGTTACCAGGCTTGTATACAACACCTTTCACTCCTCAGCCATCTTGCTGGCTGCACACATTTTTTTTTAATGCATACAAAAATTTTTTGGAGAGAAGAGGATAATAGAGAAATGAGTGTCTTTTAAACAGCATGTTCAACTCTTTCTATCAGCCCTAGTATGCTTCAGAGGATAAGCAAGGATTTAAAAAATTCTCATTCAGGTCGGGTGTTGGTGGCGCACGCCTTTAATCCCAGCACTTGGGAGGCAGAGGCAGGAGGATCTCTGTGAGTTTGAGGTAGGGGGTTCCAGGACAGCCTCCAAAACAATACAGAGAAACCCTGTCTCGAAAAACAAACACATACACACACACACACAAAGACCCAAAACAAACAACAAAAAAAATTCTCATTCATGCATTTGGTAGTCAAATATTGGTTAAGTCACTTGACCTTGACATTGTATTCTCCTCATGTAAATAAATAATAGTATTTCCATCCTGCCCTAAGACAAATTTTGAAACACAAATAAGATAACATGATAACACTCCATAATCTGTAAAGCACTTTATAAATCTATTTGGTCATAAAAGCTAAGTTAATACACACCTGTTCTACAGATAAACAAACTGCTCAAGTATGCTAGCAGCCCAGGACTAAACATATCAAAGAACAGTGTCCAGAACAAAGACAGGCAAGAACATTGTCAACTCCAAACTGGGTCACAAGCATATGAGAAAAACTAATATTAAAATAATAATAATTAATAATAATAATAATAGCAGGGCGTTGGTGGCACACACCTTTAATCCCAGCACTCGGGAGGCAGAGGCAGGGATCTCTGTGAGTTGGAGGCTAGCCTGGTCTACAGAGCAAGTGCCAGGACAGCCTCCAGAACAATACAGAGAAACCCTGTCTCAAAAAACCAAAAAAAAAAATAATAATAATAATAATAATAATAATAATAAAAATAAGAAAATAAAAAATAAAATAAAATAAAATAAAAAGCTGGGCATAGTGGCACACGCCTTTAATCCCAGCACTTGTGAAGCCAAGGTAGGCAGATCTGAGTTCAAAGCCAGCTCAGTCAACAAAATGAGTTCCAGGACAGCCAGAGCCATTACACCAAGAAACCCTGTGTTGGAAAACAACAACAACAAAAAGTTGGAGAAACGACTTAGGGGTTAAGAGCACTGGCTGCTCTTCCAGGGACTAGGGTTCAATTCCTAGCACCCACATGGCAGCTCACACCTGTCTATAACTCCAGTTCCAGGGGATTCTACACACTCATACAGACACACATGCAGGCAAAACACCAATACACATACAAATAAATAAATGATTAAATACATAAATAAAAGCACCCCTCAGCATATAAAAACGACAAGCATGGTAGTCTGAGCCTGTAATCCTAGTACTGCACAGGTAGGAGAGGGAGGGTCACCACAAGCTTAAGGCCAGTCAGACTTATACAGTAAGATCAGTTCAAAAGCCCAAATAAATATACAAGCAACATGAACAGCTTAGCTTTCCAGTTCAAGCAGGTAAAGAAGGTAAGAGTTATCCTCTACTGACACCAGTAACCCCCAAGAATGGACTATAAAATTCTAAATTTTCTTCACATTTTAATTTGAAAACGAGCCCATTTCACTGCACATCAGAGAATCTACAACTCTTGCACTTGAAGGTGGAAGATCATGAGTTCAACACCAGGAAAAAAAAAAAAAAAAAAAAACCAAACAGGTCAAGGAAGAGAGAAGCTACTGCATCTAATTTTCAGATGCATCACCTTTGTATTTTAGCATCTCAAACTAGGATACATCTTTCAGTCAATGGTATCCTGTCACAAACTAATGGCATTTTTATCCACAAGTGATAATACTTCAAAAGTGCCAATGGATGCTTGCAATGGCAGAGACCTGAATCCTATATACACTGTTCCACCTAAGCACTTATACTAGTGATTAATTTTAATTTACAAACCTAGAATAAGAGATTAACAATAACTAGCAATATGGAATAACTGTTAACTATATACTACAATAAGCTATTTAAAACATAGAGGTGTAACTGAAATTTTACACTAACTGAAATCACAGAAAACAAAACTAGGGACTTCTGTGTATAAAGCCAGCATGCCCCCAATTCACATCATCTAGTAAGTTGTCCTCCATGGCTCCCTGGAGGGACCACTCCAGTCTTCTTCTTACCCACATCATATACACATACAAAATGTATGTATGTCCATCCACAAAATCATTTACTCTCCCCAGAACACTGCAAACCTGAGTATCTCTGGCTCTTATTTATTTTTCAAAATCCTGTTACTTGCTGGACATCTTTTTGGACTCTGCTTGACTGCCACTCATATCTAGTCCTCCACTCTGTATTCCTACCAGTTCCTGCAGAGAAACCAGATACTCCTCCTAGACGAAGCACATATGCCACACAGCAAATCTTCAGTAAAAACGAAATGAAACAAAACCACCAAGCACATATGAAGGGATACTCCCTCCTCAAGTACTTTTTTCAAAGATTAACGTGCGCACGCGTGTGCCACAAAACATGAGTGCTGGGAACCAACTCACACCCATGGAAGAATGGCAAGCTGTCTTAACCACTGAGCCACCTCTCCAGACCCTCTTCAAGAGTCCTTACCTTCTCTGTAGAGTATGAGCCAGCCTGGACTTTTTTTGTCAGTGCTTGTACTTGTGCAGTTACAGCCATCACCTGAAATCAACCAAATGAAATTCAAATAGCTGCCTGGACTACCAGTAATGTTTGTGAACAGTGGAGGGTAAATGCTAATTAATGCCACCTAAACTTTATCTGACATGTTGTGGCTGAACACACAGTTTCCAACACTTCCCTAAGAGGAAGTAAAAACTTCCCATTGCTTCCTAAGGCTGGAAGAGGATGAGGAGAGGAGTGGGGTAATGGTGATGAGATTGTAATCTTTTTTTTTTTTTCCCAAGACAGGATTTCTCCGAGTAGCCCTGGCTGTCTAGGAACTCACTTTATAGACTGGGCTGACCTCGGATTCCCAGAGACCCACCTGCCTCTGTCTCCCAAGTGCTGGGTTTAGAAGTTTGGGTAATTACACACAAAGGCTGAGGAGTTCTGTACAACAGAACTTACAAAACAACAAACCATGTAAATGCATTTTAAGTGGTACTTACATACCATTACTGCCAATTATCTGTTTCCTTAGTTGTTTAAACAAAGGAGTTTGGGTATAATTTTTTAAAAAGTTTCCTGTATTTCTTTGGGTGCTGAAATGAAATACCTTGAACGAGGACTTTTATTCGATACATAAGATAGTATTCAAATATCTGTCCCTAAATCATCGAAGTGTATGGACAAGACATATAAAGTCAAAGCTAACCCCTCACTAACTTATTTTAAAAGGAGACACTACTCACCTGCTCCTGGAGGGTTTTCAAAAGTGATATCGAACTTGACACGTCTGACTCCAGCACCTCCTACAGATAGATAGGGGACGGGACAGGGTGGTCCACTTCTTACTTTAGGCGACGAGAGGGCAGCACGCACTGCCTACCAAATTCCCTCCTTTCTTGCAAAGTATTCGAGATGTGGGGTCGTCCTTCCCGCACGGGTTCAGGCAGCTCGGCTCAAAGCCAGCCCTCCCACCACACCCCCAAACCTCGCGGGTGCTTTTACTCTGTACCCCGACAACTACACATGACCCGTAATGTCCTCGCCACATTCCCCCACCTCAAGGCCGGACCACGGCCCCCCGGTCACGAGGCCCTCTCAATAAGCTCATTCTGAAGGAAAATTCTGTATTAGCCCCCTGTCCGGAAGCAGCCACCATGCAGCATCCGCCCCGCCTCTCTCTCATCTGACTTAGAACACGGCTGTGGAAGGGCGAGCACATCCCGGAGACAGCTGTCATCACTACTCCTCCATGGTGACGACGGTTTGCCTCGACCCGCAGGGGCGAAAAGAGGCGTCCACGGGAGCTACGGGAAGAAGCAACGAGAGGGAACTTACCGGAGCCGCCATCTTTGCAAAGCCCACCCTTTCCGGAGCCGAACTTCCTGGACGCTAACGTCACTTCATGAATTTGATAGACCAACGCCCTTGCAAATTTCAGCCAATGGGAATAGGAGACCTTTCATTTCCGGTAAACGGAGAGGCGGGACCTCATCTAACCAATGGGATACAGCAGCTGACTAAAGTCGTCAGAGGCAGAGGCGTGCTAAAGGCGGAAGAGATGGGCGGGGACAGAAACATGATTCGTGGTTTACAGAGAATGATTGAAGCTACCTCCAATAGAAGCTGCGTAGATGATTGATTGACAGATAAAGCAACTAATGGAAAAAAGAAATTAGCTAAGCGGCCCGAGAGCTCATTGGCTTCCAGATGCCGCAGTGCCAGTCTTTCCACTGCGTTTTCCAGGTAGTACCCGAATGGACCACTGGGTGGCGGTCTGCGGCTTTGCCCGGAGGCAGCAGGGTTGTCGCACCGCGCTTGCTCCCTGAACTTGCAAATGTCCCCTTCCAGCGTCTGTGATCGTCCTTGTGTGTCAGTGAACTGATCGGCTGGGATAGAGGAGCCACGGTTCCGAAGCAGACTGTCACTGGCCCGCCCTCCCGCTGAGTGCGCAGGCTCTGCGCAAAGGCCGCAGTGCGCCCTGCAGTCCTCCCCAGGGAACGGCTCAACCTGCTTGCCTTCCCGCTGGCTCCACTAGTCAGTCCACTGCAGAAACTGCTTAAAACCCAGACTGCGCGTGTCTCCTTCGTCCCCTCATCGTTCCTCCGTCCCCTCCCACACGCTCGCTCCCTCGCCTCTCACAGGCGGGTGGGCTCGGTGGGCCTGAGTAACAGCTCCCATCGTCCGCGTTACAGATCGCAGCGCTAGAAGGGAGGTGCTGGTCTTGGATGTTTCCCTCGCACTGGAAATCTAGTCTCAAGGGAAGCTGTCGCCTTTAATCCCAGCTCCCTGTAGTCAAGAGACAAACGTATCTATGTGCATTCGAAGCCCGTCTAGTCTACACTGTGAGACCCTGTCTAAATAAACAAAACAGAAACGGAGCCGGAGCGTTGCTTAAATTAAGAGAACATACTGTTCTTGCAGAGGACCAGAGTTCCGTTCCCAGCACCCACCCACACCGGGCCCCTCACAACTACCTGTAATCCCTGCTCCAGGGGAATCTTAGACCCTTCCTTACACACACACAAACACGATTTTTTTAAGCAAAATAATAATAATAATAATAATAATAATAATAATAATCCTCTTGTATTTCTCATTCTGGGTGGAATATCCTTGTTCCTACATATTTGGGAGTTATATAAAATGGGACAGAGGATTGGCCTCTGACATTTATTCACTGGGAGACTCAGGGTGCTACTTAGTCTAAACAAATAAGACTGTGCTTTCTTTAGAACTTGAAGTCTGTTCATATGTGTTATGGACAAACTATTACAATATCTGAGAAAATAAATAGTACTACCTTATTATCATTAAAATACCAATCATCTCGTGTATTACAAGAAATTAGAGTTAACAATATGATACATTTAAAAAAATTATTTCAGATTTTACTCGCAAGCAGGGGAACACAAGATCATTACATTTGTCTTTTCTTTCCATAGCTCCATACAGTAGTAAGTACATTTTTTAGGAATACAAATTTAATTATGATTTTAATTATTAACATTTCTTTTATCATTTTTGAAAATTTCATGTGTGCATATTTACATAATTTCTATCCCACATTCTCCTTCCTCCAACTCCTTCTGTGTCCTCCCCTCTCCATCTCAACTTCATGATTTCGTCTTGATTATTGTTTTACACACACCTATGTTTGTGTATATGCATATGTATAGATAGATACATTTGTATAGATAAGTGCAACATGCTGAGTCCATTCAGTTCTGCTTATTTGTTTTTTTTTGTTTGTTTGTTTGTTTTGTTTCGTTTTGATTTTTTGAAACAGAGTTTCTCTGTGTAGCCCAGGCTGGCCTGAACTCACTCTGTAGACCAGGCTGGTCTCAAAATCACAGAGATCTGCCTGCCTTAGCCTCCCGAGTGCTGGGATTGAAGCCATGCGTTACCAGCTGGATAGAGAAAGTATTTTTACCCTCCAGCTAGATCCAATTAATTGATTGTTGTTCGGTTCAGTTATGCCCTTCCAGACTTTCTGTTTCTGAGATCTATCATTTAGTAGAGGGAAGTTGAAATCGTCAACTGTGGTAGTGGATTTACCTTGAATTTCTGGAAGTTTTTGCCTTATATATTCTGGCCCTTTCCTGCTAGGTGTTGACACAGGACACAGCTCTCACTTCAAAGGGACTAAGAGATGGTTTATACTGGAACCAATATGAGTGGCTATGGCCTGGGAACATGGATTCAGAGTGCCCCAATACTGTGTTTCAACATGGGAATAGTCTGATGAAATTGTTGTAATGACAGAACAAAAGAAAACCATGAATCAAGACACTCACATACATTGGTGAGGTCATCAGGTAGGCAGGCCCAGCAAAGAAGCCCCAGCTGGGCGACAAATAGATGCTAGCGGATAGTCTCAGCTTTGGGTTGGTGGAAACTGTATATTCCAAAAGATGTCACCTGAGCCGGGCATTGGTGGCGCACGCCTTTAATCCCAGCACTCGGGAGGCAGAGGCAGGCGGATCTCTGTGAGTTCGAGGCCAGCCTGGTCTACAGAGTGAGTTCCAGGACAGCCTCCAAAGCCACAGAGAAACCCTGTCTTGAAAAACCAAAAAAAAAAAAAAGATGTCACCTGACAGTCTTAAGGGTGCTAGGTCAGACCAGAAGTGGAGTACGAGTGGCCATTAATAGGGCTAATGATAGCCAAGGTAAGTTGGCTCTAGACCTGCAACATTCCAAACTCTCCCCAAACACAGAACTTCTGATCAGTTAATCAGCCTAGCAGAATCTTTAGCACGGGTGAGGCTTTTCCTGGCACCTCAGATGTCACAGTAAGAACTGTTGTGTCTTCTGGGAGAACTGACCTCTTTATCACTATTTAATGCCACTCTTTACTCCTGATAATTTTCTTTCCTTAAAGGTGCTTGTGGTCTAAAACCAATATGATTACTCCATCTCTGTTTCGGTCAATATTGGTATGGTCTATTTTTCTTCATCCTTTTACTTTTTGTTCTGCCTAAACTGATTCTGAGTCTGGATTTTTGGACCTTTTCCCACCTGGCCCATCCTTTCAGTTCAGCGTGTCTGCATCTTCATATTAAGAGGGACTTCTTATTTGTTTTAAAGATTTTATTTACATATTTATTTTCATGGACGGGCGTTTTACCTGCATGTCTGTCTGTGCACAACGTGCATGCAGTGCCTGTGGAGGCCAGGAGAGGGCATCAGAGCCCCTGGAACTGGAGTTACAGATGTTTGTGAACCACCACATGGGTGGTGGGACTCACTCTTGGGTCCTCTGGAAGAGCAGACAGGGAGCTTAACCACTGAGCCATCTCTCCAGCCCCCCTTTAAAAACAAGTTTTCCTTTTTCTGTCTTTCTTTTTGGTTTTTTGAGACAGGGTTTCTCTGTGTGGCCCTGAATGTCCTGCAACTCACTTTGTAGACCAGGCTGGCCTTGAATTCACAGAGATCCACCTTCCTCTGCTTCCTGAGTGCTGGGATCAAAGGTGTGCGCCACCACCGCCTGGCTCAAAAACAAGTTTCTTACAAATAACATATAGTAGAATATAGGACTCCTCAATTCCCTTGATCACGGTTTCCAGAACCCCTTTTGATCAGTACTTTACAATGTTTTTCTGTTGCATATATTTATGTGGTGTGTGTTTGTGTGAATGCATGGGCAATTTTGTGTGTGGGGGGGTATGTGGAGACCTGAGGTTGACATGGAGCATTCCTTAGTTGCTCTCTACCATCTGACTTCTTAATTGAGCCCAGAGCTCATTTGCAGGGTCTCTCTACAAATAGCCAGCTTGCTCCAGGGATCCCTGTCCTGGACTTTCAGACACTGGAGTGCACATGGGCCACTGCACCCGCCTGAGTCAGACTCCACCCATGCTTTTGAGGCCAGCCCCCTGTCCACCAAGAAAGACCCTTTTATTAATCCCCTCTTTACAGTTATTAGTGCAACATTTGAAGTTGTACAAATCATATGATTGTAGCAGTATGGGGATGATGGTTGAGATATACACTCATCTTTCTATATATAACAGCCACTAAAAGCATATGTGATGCTCCCCAACACCCCTTTCAGACGAGCAGCTCCCGAATAACACTGGAGACACAAGAACAGTGGGACTGAGCACATCTGCCGTGACAACCAAGTTTCCGTTGATTGCGCGTGTGTCTCAGGAATTGGTGGCACCAGACTGGAAGCCTCTTTAATGATGAGCCGCAGAAGCTCCACTGTGGCCAGGGCGTGGGAGAACCCAAGCTGGTACCAGTGTTGCCGTAGACCAATCAGATCTCCCGGTGGGAGAAGGGACAGGATGCAACCTGTCAATGTAGAGAATGTCTTTGAATGCCAACTAGAGGAACCCATAATCTGCCATGGAGACAAGGGAGTGACACAATGTGAACAGCCAAGCTTACTCCAGTGATGGGAGGTCGAGGCAGGATCTCACTATGTAGCCCTGGCTGTCCTGGCACTCGCTCTGTAGACCAGGCTGGCCTAGAACTCACAGGGATCCACCTGCCTCTGCCTCCGGAGTGCTGGGATTAAAGACGTGCACCACCAACGCCTAGCCTGATTCTTTTTTTTTTTGAGAACCAATTATCCTTGATCCTTTGGATCTTTGGCAATTGCTCAAATGCAAGTGACTATTAGAGAACTTCCTGGGACCATCGTGACTTGAGAAGCCCCTAGAATATTATATATATATTTTTAACTTTTGTTTACTCTAGGTAAAAACCTGTCACATGCCACACATGGCAGCACATGTCTGTAGTTCTAACTACTTTGGAGGCTGGTTCAAGAAAACCTCTGGAGGCAGGAACTCAAGACCAGCCTGGGCAACACAAAGAGACTCAACTGAAAACAAACCAATGAGAAGTCAGGTTCAGATGGATGCTCTGAGCGGCTCACCATGCCTCCTTTGGGATGGAACAGTGGGAAGGAC